TCTTGCGTGCGTTGGAGCAAGGCGAGCTAGCCTTGTCTCGACACCCTGTGTCATAACTGTTTGTTAGTGATTCATTCTTGAGGGGCCGGTAGGATGCAGTCGACCCTGACTGGTATTTAGTATTTAGTATTATTATGGGGAAGGTTTTGTCGCTTTTGTTAACTACTGAACATGATCAATAAGGACATTACAAGGGTCAATTTTATGTAATTATAACATTTTTCATGGCCTTATCATTTATTATGTCCAACCAATCGTGAAACATAAAATTATTGGAAATCGACGTTGAGTAGAGACACACTATATGAATTATTTTTATCTTTTATTGACTATTGGGGCGATTCTATTCACTACGATTCAACTTCATGAACAAGAAGCGACACATCTTTTTATGTTACTCGCAAATACTTAGATTGTGATAACTGAGAAAAGACTGAGAATTAGTCCCAAATGTCAGTTATCAAAACTGTTTGAAGGGAGGTCATGAGATAGTAATGTAGCAGTGACGTTTCACGTGGTATTTTATACATTGTAGTTTGGTATTTAAAAAGTCAATACATTTTTTTTACAATAACATTTCTTGTTTGTGTTATACAGTTTTGTGGGTAACAGTAGTATTCATGGTATTCTCTTTGCCTGTTCTCTGTGCAGGCTAGCTTGATGAATATGCATATCTCGTGCAATTCATGTTAATGGGAATCTTTGTTGTAATATTGAGGATTTTGACTGGCTGATTGGATCATCTGCTTCAATAAAATGATACCTCGTGGTGTATTGTGGTTCATTGCGCTCTGAGAGCTGAACATGTGAGGTCAATGGCCAGATTTAAAATCTCAGTAATGTGTATAACCTAATGATTAGTTTATATTTGGTTGTGTAATGGGTTTCTAATCTCAAAATAAAAATCTCAGTAATGTTCTATAACCTAATGTTTTAGGCTAAAACTGCTAAGGATGGAGGTGGTGGCATGTGACTTGTGTGCATATGGCCATGTGGTTTTACTTCGTTTTGCCGTCACTATTGATAGAAGCTAATTTTGAATTTGGTGTTGAATATGCACTTTTCATTCTCATGGAGAATGTGTTCATTATATATAAATCGAGGCCGGTTTTTGAATGGTCATTTAATACACTTGTGTGCACACTATTGGAAAAAGGGGTTTCATTTTCACGAGAGTTCCAATGGTCATTTAATACACTTTCAGGACAAAAGGGGGGTTGCGCACCCCTGCACCGCTCCTCTGGATCCGCCTATGTATATCTCTACTACAAACCCAGTATCGTTACCTAAGTGAAACAACTGAAAGGGAAAATTGTTCGTTATTAATGTATTTATTTATTGTTCAGCGTCACATGTTTTTCAGTTTCTCCCTTTTCATAATATAATTGCTAACAATAAATCTGTGATACCAGTGAGATCAAAACTACTGTGATTCATAATTATAATGAAATGTTTACAGGGTATTTTCTTCTGCTAATCTGCTCTTAAATAAACGGATTCACACCTCACAGCAAGTGTTTTCTCGGCATGAGCTGTGACAGTAATTGCGCAGGTATGTTAAAGAAATGTCGTGGCCTCAAAGCTTCAGCACCTAAGTCGCAGATTGGATGCTGACAAATCTGAATGTTTACAACGGATAGAGTCTGTACACATACAAATCATGGCTGAAATATATAAATGACCTGATATATAAAGTCTTACATGATTTGCAATGTGCTTATTGATAAAGTAAGCATAATTCACCTTCTGTCACATAGAGAAGCACATAAAATATAACACGTGTACAAGTATATCACAGTAAAATGCTGACTTTAAATATTGTCCGTTTGGTAAGCTGATATTAGGCATCAAGTGTTCATCATTTCATTCGGATATATGCCACTGATAAACGATGGGGAACAGCTAACGTGCTGTGCATTTGTTCTGATATTGCGTATTCATTGCTGTATGCTGTCTATTTATAGCTAGCCTACCTAAAACAGCAAGCGTCCTGGTGCTGATAAGATTGTCACGACAGGGTAGTAAGATGACAAGTCTAAACGAAACATATCTTCCTCCACCAAATCCGTCCACCTGTCGAACGCAGTTCGGCGCAAAACGTTCGTGTCGACGTCGATAGACACGTTGTCTCCCATCCCGTTGTTACAGGAGGAAACGCGATTCATCACTGTAGGCGTCGCCAGTTCCCCAGGTTCCATGCCTGTGCCCTGTTGCACCATTGGACAAATTGCTGTCGGTGTAGTCGTGTCAGGACAGATCCAACATTTGGTCGACGAATTCCCACTTCTCTCAGACGATTTCTGATGGCTTGGTCAGATATTCATCGAAGACCAGTTCGTTAAATAGCCTAAACAACTGCATTGTTCCAAGAGAGATTAGAAAGTCACCAGCTGTGTTCGGTGAAGGAAAGCTTTGTGGACTGAAAAACACATTTGGTGCTTTCTAAATATATATCTCTTACTTAGGACCTGATTTCTGATGGGATTCACATAAAGCCAGGTCGTAGTGTGTTTATTTTATCTATATATGTATCCATGCCAGACAATGTACATTTATAATAATGAAACTATTACTGGTATTTAGCAACGCGCAGAACTGAAGCAGCACCAATGAAGCAATTTACGTACGTTACACTGTGTTAAAGACACCCCAAAAGTTCATTTTTCTTTTCTAAAATATCATGGAATGTTAGAAGCATTTTTTTCGGACGATCAGGTCTGAAATCTGACTGAATAGTATATGTAGACCGACAGCACTAAAGGGTAATGAGCAACATTTGTATGGTGATATCCAAGGGAACTGCATGGATTCTTAAAAGGATATTTTCCTTCTTCGTGAATGTTTAATCTGTGCCACGCCTTGCCAAGTGATAACATTCAAGATTCAAGATTCAAAATTTGCATTACAGTATTAAGGCATCCAGCCCCATGTACATGTTTTGTTTGACAAACCTCCTTTCACAGAAGGTTTACATAACAGTGAATGAATACAAACAAATGGTACAAATACAATATAAATAGTGAAAAAGAATGCAAGAGAACATTTCAAACAGCTTTAAGCAGCATATGGGAAATATCTATTTTATGAACGCTTTAGTCACTTTTGATATTAAAATTTATCTCCCTTGAAAAGACTGCCAACCAGAAGTTTTGCTTTGCTTGGATAAATAGTTATTTATGATAACATTCACCTGACAAGAATTATATATTTTTCTCGGCTTAATTCTTCTTTCTAACAGAATACGAGTACCAAAATTACTCACAGTACGTAAGGTGCTGCTGGTAACGCACGTCACCAGCATCCCAACATGGCGGCAGGCAAGATCGCTTGGCGATTATTCCCCGTCTTCCACGTGTATACAATCAACATTATTTAGCACACTGATAAACGTTGATGGTGTGAATACATTGAATGCACTGAATTAGCTTATTAATGTCTATGTGTTGAAGAATAAGCATTTACAAAATCGCGCGAGGATGTCGGTAACTCAAAGTCTGGATGTGGGAAACGTGCAATGAATGATGCTGGTAACTCATACTGTCCTGCTTTAGTCGGTAAAAAGAATTTGTCGATTCATGTTTAAATACAAAGCAGATACTAATGTAAGTTCTTATGTTTTACACGGATGTGTACATGTACTGCTGCTACATTAACAGTTTGAGAGACTATTTCTGTGCACCGGAGAGTTGTTGCTTGTTGTTTTGATCAACTCAGTGTGAGCATGGGCTCAATATATTGATGTAATGTCTGATAGGTGACAGACACCTGAAGGTGCAAACTATGCAGTCCCTAAAGTTAGGTTGACAGACTATATAGCTTTATATATTGAACCACAAAAGAAATGTCGCACCGATAGCGGTTTTTTAAGACACACACTTTAATTCACTCTAATTAACAATCAATTCGGATAAATATATATCTCTTACTAATGTTTCCTCAATAATGAAGCTATGTATACTTAAACATGCGTTGGGAGTTTTAGGACCTGATTTCTGATGGGATTCACATAAAGCCAGGTCGTAGTGTGTTTATTTTATCTATATATGTATCCATGCCAGACAATGTACATTTATAATAATGAAACTATTACTGGTATTTAGCAACGCGCAGAACTGAAGCAGCACCAATGAAGCAATTTACGTACGTTACACTGTGTTAAAGACACCCCAAAAGTTCATTTTTCTTTTCTAAAATATCATGGAATGTTAGATGCATTTTTTTCGGACGATCAGGTCTGAAATCTGACTGAATAGTATATGTAGACCGACAGCACTAAAGGGTAATGAGCAACATTTGTATGGTGATATCCAAGGGAACTGCATGGATTCTTAAAAGGATATTTTCCTTCTTCGTGAATGTTTAATCTGTGCCACGCCTTGAGAATATCACAAGTGATAACATTCAAGATTCAAGATTCAAAATTTGCATTACAGTATTAAGGCATCCAGCCCCATGTACATGTTTTGTTTGACAAACCTCCTTTCACAGAAGGTTTACATAACAGTGAATGAATACAAACAAATGGTACAAATACAATATAAATAGTGAAAAAGAATGCAAGAGAACATTTCAAACAGCTTTAAGCAGCATATGGGAAATATCTATTTTATGAACGCTTTAGTCACTTTTGATATTAAAATTTATCTCCCTTGAAAAGACTGCCAACCAGAAGTTTTGCTTTGCTTGGATAAATAGTTATTTATGATAACATTCACCTGACAAGAATTATATATTTTCTCGGCTTCATTCTTCTTTCTAACAGAATACGAGTACTAAAATTACTCACAGTACGTAAAGTGCTGCTGGTAACGCACGTCACCAGCATCCCAACATGGCGGCAGGCAAGATCGCTTGGCGATTATTCCCCGTCTTCCACGTGTATACAATCAACATTATTTAGCACACTGATAAACGTTGATGGTGTGAATACATTGAATGCACTGAATTAGCTTATTAATGTCTATGTGTTGAAGAATAAGCATTTACAAAATCGCGCGAGGATGTCGGTAACTCAATTTGTCGATTTTATGTTATAATACAAAGGAGATGCTCTTTGTCAGTTCTTATGTTTCATACAGATGTTTACTGCTGCTGCATTAACAGTTAATGTTAATTGTATACACGTGGAAGACTGCTAATTCGAGGGGAATAATCGCCAAGCGATCTTACCTGCCGCCATGTTGGGATGCTGTGTACGCACACCTTAGGTACAGTGATTACTGAGAATGCAGTAATCATGTATTGAAGAACTTTACTAAATAGTGTATCTCGCTTATTGTAATGTTATCATTGGTTACAAATAACCCCAATAAACCGGAAGACAGTAATAATATACTGCATAACCTAAATCAATAATCGAACCCCAGAATCACAGCATTTAAACACGCGCTTGAAGACTCAAGACCTGTCTGTAGCCATTTTCTGTTACTCACATTTGTCTAACGAACTGTCAGTGGGTTGAAGGTTGAAGTGATTTAGCTGGTGACCTAATGGAAACGTGTCCGCTTGCATAGCAATGTTTGGCTTAGCCAGAGCTTATCGGTGGAATCGTCAGGAGGTCATATGAGCCTTGATCTCAAAGGTTTTAGCATTTTTTGAAAATTCAACAAACCGGTATTTCACATAGCGGAAACTTTCTGTGACCATCTTCTTTTAGCACTAGTAATGTGAACAGATAAAAACTGTTCAAATACATACTCTTAATATCCAGCATGATACCAAGGCATAAACACATTTGTAAATTTCCACCTTTGCAAATGTTTCCCCTCCTAAAGAAATATTCATATTTCTAACCCGGGAAAATTAAAAAAAAGTATCAACTTTTGAATTCAGGCTTGGAAATGTCTGCAAATTCGGTCATAGCTTACATGAAAACGGTGCTTGTGCATTCGGCAACATATGATGATCGTATGTTTGAAAGGTACAGCTTCATATGAAATATGCGTCCACAGCTGGGAAATATTAGGAAACGCTGTATTTACGTTTATTTCAATAGTGTACTATCCAGCTTTTCGTCCCGTGCTAACAGAATCACATGCTGATTTGGTACTGCGGCACTGGTGTTACACTCTAGCTAGATGACGAGCTGACTGTGTTAGTCGGATGTTGCTTAACGCGTTCGACAGGTAAGGTCATGACTTGTGCTGGTAATAGTGACAAGGCGATGACGGTTTGAAGTAGCGGTCGATTGAAGCTATCCGGACAATTAAAGGTAAAGACAAGGCATGCAAGACTATTCTAGCTGGAGTATCAACACTAAGCACGAAACACTATTCTGCTGCCTCTGTCTACATATACCTCTCAGTATATTTTATCACAAGTACGATTTATTTTTAGCTGAAGATGGATGAATTGTACCTTATTTTGCACTCAGGGACTATTTCTGCATGGTTGTAATTGGGTATTATGGATGATACGTATTATATATATAAAAAGACAATATGAATGAATGAAACATTTTTAACATGGTACGGTCAAATATAGCTGAAGGTGTATAAAAAACTAGCAGTAAAGATGAATGTATAAACCTTAACATCAACATTGAATCAGTTGAATCGAATTGAGTCCTAATGCGGATGATATATATATATGTATATTTATATATATATATATATATATATACAGCCGCGACTGCATGTATCAAAGTATAAACAATGTAATACAGCGTTAGACCTAGTGTTGTTCACGAAGTTCTAGGCCAGGTCTTGTCATGGTTCGTGCACAGTTGCAAGTAGATCAAGCAGTTAGTGCAGCCATCAAACATGAATGAAGTCGTCTTTCTTCTTGGCAAGAACTTCATATGAGGGCTACTTTTAGATATTGTCCATGCCCAAGTAAATCTGAATGCAAATACTTATTTACAGCTAGGTATCAGTGGATCACTTGTTCATCCAGACCCTACTGAGACTGTACAATGTTCCGTGTTCTTTCTGCCTGTGCCCCGAGGAAGTCCTCGTATTTTGCAAAATACCAGGCGAAGTTCAAATGCAAGACAGTGGTATATACAGCTTCATCGAGAACAGTAGCCACGTATGAAGGTGATTTTGTATATCCAAGTCTTACTATTACATAGCTACAAGTATCAAAGTTATGACTTTCCGGTTGAAAGCAACGCTCCAAACATCCTTCCACGGAAAGATGTTTTATGCTTATATTGACTATATAGAGTTTACAGTATGCCAGTGGCAACTGTCCTTTCTTCATCTGCCATGTTATTTCTGTGTATGGCCACTGCCTGTATCTTACTTGTATATTAGTTTTAAGCCAGTTCAAACAGACGACTGAATGTGTTTCCTAGTACATACACTGGGTCGATATATCCATGTGGCTTCACCGTTTCTTTTATCTTGACACAAATTTGATGGTTTCAACTCATGTTGCAAGTTGTGCTTACATGAAATTCCTACATTCATTAAAATTTCTCTCTATATATTAGATTCATCGGTGCCCACGCCACATTATAAATCTCTGGTGGATAGAGGATTATATCGGGAAAGAGAGGTATGTGTTATTTTGGAGTCATTTACAGTACGCCATGCGATGTCGATAAAGGCATATGAATATCACTTTGATTAATAATATAAGTTGTTTGTTACAGTACAGATGTAGCTCAGACTGACAAAAGAAAAAAGAGGTGTGACATATACTCTTCAAAACAAGTAGGGGATTATGAAAACATGTTAATACGAAGTATAAGAACACAGATAGTGGTTATCACAAACATCCCAAAGTGAAAGAAGGATTATACCTGGGAAAAAAACCATATATTAACTCCAAAACACACCCGGCTGTTCGCATGGCATGGTCCAGTACCGCCACCCCCCTGACTATGATGTTTTGTCCTATTTTAACTCTTTCAGGGAAGTTGGATAAATCTCTCTTGACCATTCAATCACATCCATGCAGTTGTGACTTGCTTCATTTCATCATTGTTTGTGTATACACTTAGTCTAGATTTTAGGCGTCTGCGAGGCGGAGCTTATACATAGGTGGTTCAGTACGATAGGTGGTTCACAGATTGTGATTAGCAAACAATAGAACAAGTAGCAGCAAACCCCAAATGTCACAGCAAGAGTACAGGATCGTGGTCGTGTCAGGCGTTGCAGAAATGAACGCCAAACCAATGCCAACCTGAGCCCTCATTTGCATTGTGTTTTTTCAAACTGAGCCCTCATATATTAATATCTTGGTCGACGTTTCATCGTTCAGAGCAACGTGGCAGTATCCGTCCTCACAATGCACGAATCGTCAAGTCTTACCCACTCAGCACAACGTCCATATGATGCCATGGGTAGCAATGAGCCTTGACCTTTCCCCCCACTGAACACTTCTGGTACATGATAGGAAAGGCGTGTGCATAATTAGGATAGGCCACCAACCACGACACCTGAAATCGTGTCAGTATTACGCATTACAGGTTCAAACACCAATCCTCTGAAAGTTTCCATCCTACTATCATCATCCTGGGTGAAATGTGTTCCCATCAGGCTCATTATTAACAATGACCTACAGCGTTCAGTAGGAACTACTATCGTTAACTATTGTTGAAGTTTTAACTTGTTTTCGAGTATCCCCTACTATTTTGGAAGAGTGCAATAGGAAAGCAAGATTAAATTAGCTACATGACTATATCGACTGTATATTTTTTCAGTGTAAGTAAAAAGAAATATAGCATCGATTGCGGCTTTGATGAATTCGGACGTGATGTATCAAAAATGCATCACTTTCAGGCACACTGGTGAAACAGTGAAACAGTAAATGTGGAAAATATACACAATGCTGATGAATCTATGTGACAGATATTAAAAAGATAAATTAATGATATATTTTTAAGCTGCATCAGGTAAATGGATAATGTTATTTATCATTGTATATTTTCACTTCGTCAATATTAATTAATCTACAAAAATGCAGCTAGTCATATCTCATCACCATATGAACAAGTCATGTTTGTCAGATAGAAGTGAGTTAGAACAGCATTTAATGTTACGCCCTCAGCCGGAGGAATACTGGCATTCTAACGGAACACACCGAATTCAACGCCTTTTGTCAGTTAATAATGGTTATAATGTAACTAATTCAATTAATTGCTCTTGACAGAAGTCAATGTCATACTCAAATGATATAAACATTCAAATTAGATAACTGTCAAAGGTACATTTTTGTCAGATGTGCACACGATGTCGTCTAACAGTTTATAAACAACGGAAAATGTATTCTTCTTGAACAAATATCATAATAAAAACTCAGGAGACGAACCTCACAGCTTGATTTCTTCCTGTAATATCCGTTTCGCATATATGTAGGGGCACACACGTAATGTTCAAGTCCGCTAGTATAGTATGAATCACCGCTTATAATACCACCGGTTAATATATCATCAGTCTCAACAGAAGAAATCCTTTTCCTTTGCGGTTACCGTTATTGCAGTTTCAAGCATGTTTCAACACGTTTTTCAACTTGTCTTAGAATTGTTATACTTCGCCTTGGCGAATGGATTTTCCCACAAGCTGTCATGTGGTTCCATATTTGCTTGAAACAGCTAAGGAATAAATCTATCTTTACGCATGATATACCGTTATAATTTAACAATTTTGCTTAATTAGATTCTAAATAGGGAAAACTTTTATGATTGAAATGACGAACAGACAAAGACTTGACAAAATTTTGATCAATTTAGACTTGGTTGGTATTTCACATATTAACAAATACTTGTTATGAATTCTCTGCATATCTGATGTTAGTATGCCAGGTTCGCCGGTGCCCGGATATTTGGTGTGTCTGTGCTGGATGGTGGCAAGAACGTGGAGATACAGTGGAACAATGGCACCCATTCAAGGTCAGCTTCTGACACATAACATGTTTGCTTACATTAACCTCATGTACGAACACGTGAGCGATGGGTTTGACTTTCAAATTTTATAGAGCTTTATTGAGAAACTAAAAGTAAATCTTGATTTTGATGTGTCGAAATTATATCAATTAAATGAATTTGTCTGAGTTCATGTGTTATCGCTGACGGTTTGACAAGTTGAAATGAATTCAGTAAATTGTAAAAGTGCGGCCAAGAGCTGAGAGCTCAAGACATATCTTCAATAAATCTATTTATGAATTAACCATAGAAAGCGTCTGCAGGAACTAAATCCCAATAAAGTTGCCACTTCATGAGACAATATCACAGTCAGAATAATGATATGGATGCTCATAATAACATCTTTGTTGATGAAAGTATCATTAAGGTTGATACTGTTTTTAGACTGTGTCAATAATATGCTTCCAGGTCAGTTGGTCTCACTGGTAATTGATATAACTTGTTTCGGTGAATAAATCAGTAAAACATGGGATATCAGATACAACATTAAGATTACATAAAACCTGATCAGAAACGTGTATATAAATAACAGATCAACAGGGAGGGGAGCACAATTGTCTTACATGTCGTCATGATCAAAGAAACTGCTTGGGTGTTTATATGTCAAATTGTATCACTCTATGGACTGTAGGTTTGAAAGATTTCAATCGATTGTAGGTACCATAGCATGTGGTTGAGACAGTCGTGTCACTGCCCATCTTGTCGCCAGTCCTCAAATCTGCCCTCAGTCAACTTCCACGATGTTGATGTTGAAGCAGTAATTGTACATGCAGGGACAGAAGGTACAGGCCTCACACAGAGGAAGACTATATAATTATGTTTTAATTGTCTCTTTAGGGAAGCATGCAAATCGTTCAGTATATATTCCGGCAATATGTGACCTGATACCAGCGATGAATATTCTAAATATTACTTCAGAGTAAGCGTGCGGTTGTAACTGACTTCCTCTCCATCCTTAGCAAACAGAACAGATGGAACAACTTTTTGTAGAAACATGTCCAAAATGATTATCTCAGACGTGTTTCAGAGAATCATAAGTTAAATTTTCAAATGAATAGATAATGGACATTTTGGAAAAGATATAGTGAATAGTCAACAGCGGCAGCAAAGCGAATTCTCTTCTCCGAATTGTCAACTGGTTTGGGCATGTGAAGAAAGAGCTTTTTGTGAACTGATTATATAAACATGTGTTTGGTAGTTGGTTATTGGAAATGTGTGGCTAGTGTTGACTTCACGAAGAAGCTTAAGTAAACGGAATGCGATTTGAAATCCATGACTGTGAACTGGGTCTGAAACTGTATTAACTTTCATTCAATTAGACGAACTAAACTGGAGGCCTAACCGGATATTTTCTTACAGGAGACAAAGTGCTGACAGTGACCTGGAGTGATGACCCGAATCATACTGGCGTTTTTCCTCCGCCCTTCCTGAAGCGCTACTCCTACAGTGACAGAGATCGGGAGGAAAGGAAAGAAGAGATGAACATGGTTTTCAATACAAGTGCCAAGGTTATAGCTTCATATAGCATAGCTGCAATAAATGAAGTTGACTCATGAATTGATATTTTCTTTGAAATTCAGGTACACATATTGTGTAACTGTGTCTTTGAATGAGATTCATCACGTGTATGTTACTGAATGGAGGAACCCGTAAAGATCCGGGTTAGAATTGGTAAGCTTGTCGTAAGAGGCGACTAACGGGATCGGGTGGTTAGGCTGGCTGACTTAGTTGACACATGTCATCGTATCCCATTTGCGAAGATCTATGCTCATGGTGTTAATCAATGGATTGTCTGGTCTAGACTTGCTTATTTACAGACCGCCGCCATATAGCTGGAATATTGCTGTGGGCAGCGTTAGACAACCAACCAGCTGAATGAAGGATAAATACTAACGGTGAGCTTCTTTTACAGCCTTCAATACCAGAAGTTGCTTACAGCGACGTAATGAAAAGCGAGTTAGGACTCTACAAGTGAGTTTGCGACTGAGTGTTCTCGTATAACACAAAACACGTGTATTTGTTGTGATACGACCTTTACGGGGAAGAACACATAAGTGACGACTAGAATGACGATCGATGGTGATCCCAATGCTTCACATGGCGGATTGTCACTCATCATATTACAACCACATTCATTGTTGCTAACTACTGATTTCCTGTGGATTCGGGTGTAAAGTGATATCGGTTCATCCTTTCAATAATATTAACACGAACAAGGAAACTTCAACTACACAAAAAACGTTGTTGGTGTTTTTGGTAATGGAATTGCTTCAACAATATGAAACAATTATGACGTGGTCATTGTATTATTTGTAACGTTTTTTCTAATGTATTGTTTATTTCCATTACCCTTCGTTTCGAGGTGGTTGAAAATACTCAACGAAGTTGGCATTTGTCTGGTGAAAGAGGTTCCTACTCGCGTCCTCGAGGGAAAGAAGGTGAGGACATTGTTCATAGTTGTGTGTGTAAGTGTGTCTGTGTGTTAATATCAGAATAAAAATAATACTTGACATAGAGTATGAGGGAACCATATTAAAGAGAATGCATTGACAAGGGTAAACTCTGGATCCGGTATCTTCTTCCATATACCTGTATCTCATTTAATGCATGTGCATGATTTGACACGAGTCCAATACATTGTTCTGACAAAACGTAACACGTACGCTACTTTGCAATAGGTGGCAGAGAGAATTGGCCCAGTCCATGCGACTGTATATGGACAGGTTAGTACATATTCTGAGATGAAAAAAAACAATGTTTATAAATGTAAAATATACCCTCTTCAGTGGAGAAAGTTTTGACTACATATAATTTTCTGGTATCACCTGATTATTTTATCATTTTATCTCTAAAACCTCATGTGTTTTATATATTTATACGTAAAATACGTATTTATACGCTCTTGACATTGTATTCCTCGACCATTGTGTTTCCAGATTTATAGAACATAACACTTTTTGTTTACCTTCATTAGACATTTGATGTGAGAGACACACCTAACCCTGTAAATGTGGCCTATAGCGAACAACGTCTACAGTTGCACATGGATCAAACACCTTATGAATCACCACCTGGAATCCAGTTTCTTCATTGCCTCAGGTAAAAATAATATAACGTTTAAGAAAAATGTTTTTAAGGGAATTAAAGGGAAATAAGAGTGTACATCGGCAATTTTCCACCTCCATCGCTGCGGGTAGGAAACCGATTCTTTGCAACATGTTAACCAACACACGATCAGTCAAAGCGACACCTGATCCACTTGAAATAATAAAGACATATTCTCCGCTGAAAACATGTTACGGCATGTTAGGTAAAAATGAATATGTGTTCGCTGATTTACCTTATTCGCATTCAGATTTGACAAGGAAGTACAAGGTGGTGACTCCTTCTTTGTTGACGTCTTCCACGTTGCTGAGACGTTGAGAACAACACATCCCGAGGAATTTCACAGTCTTGTACGGATACCTGCAACATTCGACAATACTTTTTACACCAGGTAATGTTCACACACTTCGCCCCGGTGAATATAACTTGTCCAAGGTCGATAACTAGTAAGATGAACCTCAAGTTAAATCAATAATTGTATGCTGTATATAATATCAGATGCGAATTCATATCATAGTTTTAATTTCCCAAACTTCAGTTATGCTTACTTTCTCTTTCAGAGATGCCCAATTCCATATGGTGTACCAAAGACCTCACATTGCTCTCAACCATGATGGAAAGGTATTATATTTTGTGTAATGATTCATTAGGACGACAAAAAAATAAACCCAGTAAATGACAACACCTATAGTTAATATATTCGAGATATATTGACTACGTGTTTTGCCTTTTACAGATTGTTGGTGTGACCTGGCATCCTGGTATGATCGGGCCTTTGATGACAAAAGAGGTAAACGCCGAAGAACTGCCTTTGCATTTCAATGCTATGGAATGTATCAAGTTCTTTTATGAGTTATCCCCTATATGTGTTGTTTCAGGAAGACGTGGAAGACTACTACAGAGCCTACAAGTGCATGGCCACAATGGTCAACACATTCCCATATCAGGTAGTATGAACGAGATTTCCAGATTTCTTGGATGCTGCCCATTGTGGGTCTCGTCTGGATTAGGTAACAACGTTATGTAAGTTGTCTATTATGAAACGGAGTTGATGTGTTTCCAACTTGATTGTTTGTTTTCACAAACGTATTTGGGTGAGCAGCTGTGTAGTAGAATTATATGTTCGTATTTCAGTATAACTGCCGTCTGGAGGAGGGAGACCTAATCACATTCAATAACAGACGTATTCTTCACGGACGACATCATTATGATGCAAAATCGGGCCATAGGCACTTGCAGGTATTTCGTACTTGAGGATTCAGCAAAACACATACCCTCGTATCTTATTAATTAGAATAAAACGCAGTCCGTCTGGTAAGAAATCTGTCATTAATCAATACCTAAACGAAGGCATTCGTTAAATGAAACTGCATCAAACACAAAACGAAAACATTTAGTTAATGAATAAAGATGTTTTTGAAGTAGAACTCTGCACTTGTAGCAAAGTGCACGTGAATTGGCCATATTAACCAGGCATAAATTTGAAAACAGGACGATTTTGTAATATATACATAGAATATTTTTCCTAAGCAGTTACAGAGTCTTGCATAACAGTATATTCAAGAAACTAAAGCATGGCAGTTTGGCCAAAGCTTAAAAAATAATCTCAGTTACAATTAATGACGGTATACTTTGTTAAGTTATAAACATCGTTGAGCTCCGTCTGTACGAATTGGACTGTTGGTGGGTAGTTACGGTTTCTAGGTGAAATGATTCGTTTTGACAAAATAATGACAAGTGTAAAATATTTGTCTCTTCGATAAATAACCATAAGGAATATATTCTTTGGAGTTTGTTAGATAGCCAACTTTTCATGTCTCATCAGACAGAGCTCACTTTACGTTTTGAACCCTGTGTAATATTGATAATTGGCTATTTTTGTAAGTGCCATTTAAAGGTTTTGGTAGATATTTGTAATTAACACGTTATTCTTATTACCTATATATATTGAAACAATTATCAGAAGTTCCCATATATTGTTTATAGATTCCAGCTGCATATGATTATAACCATATCAGTTTCACTATTAATGGCTGTACGGGACCATGAAGAATGATATTTCCCATGATCATGATTGGTAGTCAACATGGATGGAAGTTTGTTACAGGGATGCTATGTCAAGATCGACGAATTCAAAAGTCAAGTACAGGTTTACACCAACACAGTGGGAGATGGGAAACTGGCAACAAGGGTTGGCAATCTCGACTGGCAATAGGTTTATTTCACTTGGACACAAGTATTCCACTAGTTCGAACAGATACAGCACAGAGCACGATGATGTTAGAATGCTAAAAGCAAATCTGTTGTGCGAATCCGACTATATGGTAATCTTGTGTTTATGAATCACTAATTATCAAATGACTGGTGTTTGCGGCAAAGTATGCACCAGATAATGCTGAAATAAAAACTGACATTGCTGGAGTCAAGTAATTATCCAGTTTCTTGTGTTTGTATGTACACCTGGTAAACAGTTAAGCACCCCTGAAAATGGGATGGGAATATTATCCGATGGCCAGAGAGGCAAGTTGTTCGTATGCATAACTCCAGTATCTTTAAAGCATCTGGTCGGAAATGAGTGTCCACTACACAGCTCTCAGGTCGTTTAGTCGGACAATACAGGGAAACCAATGGACAACCCAGTTTGACTTCAAATCGTGAAGAAGGTGAGGTGAGGTGAAATTGGGTTTAACGTCGTGCTTGAGAATATTTCGCTCATATGACGACGGGCATGCGTATGTATGTGTATGTGCGGCTGCTTGTACTAGCCAGACTTAAGCTGGTGTTATAGTGCTAGCTCACTGAGATACCATGCCGCAGTGAAGCATGAATACCCCACTCAGACACATTATACTGACTCCGAGCCGACCAGTCCTTGTTGTACCCATTAATGCCGAGCGCCAGGCAGGGACCAACAAGTACCATATTTTAACGTCTTTTGGTATGACGCGGTCGGGGATCGAACCCGCGACCTTCCACTCTCCGGGCGGACGCTCTAACCACTACACCACGGAGGCGGTCAAATCGTGAAGAAAGGGGACTATCGACGCTCACTCGCCACTCACTCAAACATTCGCTACAAGCACTGTTCTAAATTCTAAAGCACCACGGGTTACCATTTCCTGGGTCTCTGCGAGAACTTTTTCGCAGTTCGTGGGGGGTTCCGTCATGGTGTGGTTGTATGCGACGTGGTGTACAGGCAGTTATCCAAGCTTGCAGCATGTATCAGCCAAAACAGATGATTTGTGTAATGGGCCATATTCATGTTATAACGTTGAAGGAAACCGTCCTTTTAGTGTTTTCTTGTAGTCAAGACATGATTTTACAAACAAAACCATGCAGCTTTACAAACAAAACGTACTGTGTGTGCACACCACTAATGCTAGCCGAAACATGCGACTTGTACAAATAACTGGGGGTGCTTAACCTTTTTCCAGGTGTACACAATATATCGTGAACATTAAATGTCCTCAAGTCTCTGTCTGTTTATTCGTGTGCATTCTAGGTATACAAATTGTTTCTACTATTGTCAGTGTGCACCACATATACGTGCGTTATGTAAACAAATTCATGACATAAAGATTTCTCAATAAATTCAACATGGTCAAGGTTCTATTGAATTAACTGTTATACTTATATATGTAATCTCTCTTGGGTGTAATCGTTACTGTAAAAGTGAGTGAATGACTTTAGATTTATGCCTCACTAAGCAATATTCCAGCCATATGGCGGCGGTCTGTAAATAATCGAGTCTGGACCAGAGGTGAGGTGAAATTGGGTTTAACGTCGTGCTTGAGAATATTTCGCTCATATGACGACGTGCATGCATGTGTATGATTTTATACTTGTTTTGTAAATATTTTAGAAATATGTTTTAGGCCATTAAGTGCCTGTACAAGCTTAACACGTACACAGTATACAGAAAGCAACAATAGATTTACCCCAGCAATTATATAACTCTTAACTTCACCATAGCCACTGTCACTCTAATGATAAGCGCATTGCATTGTCTGCCTTGTCCCATATCCTTATTTTCCTTATTATAAAGTCTCCTTGCCTACAGTTCAACTTTATTTCATCAAGCGGTTATCAGATACTACTCTTACAAGTCAGAGGTCCTACACGTTATGCTGAGCGAATAGTTTGGTTTTTGTGGAATGAGTGACTGTGGACCTCACTTCTATTTATGTATCTATAAGGTCAGTTTGTGTTTTGCTTTCATATTCATGTATTTATATATATGTCTGTATAGCTGTATATGAATTAAATCTTTGATAAGATATATTTCTCTGTTGAACCAACACATTAACTTGCCATTGAGTGTGTGTGTGTTATTGACTAGTAGTATATAAGCATATTTAAATGTTCAGATATTCTACCAGCTTTGAAGGTAATATAATTTCTCTTTTTAATCCATGAACTTATGTCCTGTATTTGTATTGCCATTTTTCTGGTTGCTCATCATTGTGTAACATTTGTAGAATATCCCGATTGGACACTGTCAACTTAATCGCTGCCATCTCATTGCCACACAGTGGTAAGTCAGGTGTACATATTGTATATATTGACTGTATATCTTGATAATTTGTGGAGACAGTAATGTGTCGGCAACCTAAGTATACATTGTAATCTGTACGAGTTAATCTGTTCAGTTTAACTCTATCTAATGTTCCCTTTGTACATTAGTCATGTATAATTCATAGATGTTATGTGATGTGGCTGGTGTAATTAATTTATCAGATATTTTAATATTATTTTAATATAATATTTACAGAGCTGGAAACTGATTAGTGTTTACACAATAAAGAGATTGCTGTCGGCTCACAACCCAGTAGCTGTTCCGCATTATTCTTTCTACTGGAACCTCGTCCGCTACTACATGTATGTACGGCTGCTTGTACTAGCCCAGACTTAAGCTGGTTTTATAGTGCTAGCCCACTGAGATACCATGCCGCAGTGAAGCATGAATACCCCACTCAGATACATTATACTGACTCCGAGTCGACCAGTCCTTGTTGTACCCATTAATGCCGAGCGCCAGGCAGGAACCAACAAGTACCATATTTTAACGTCTTTTGGTATGACGCGGTCGGGAATCGAACCCGCGACCTTCCGCTCTCCGGGCGGACGCTCTAACCACTACACTACGGAGGCGGTCAGTCTGGACCAGACAATCCAGTGATCAACAGCATGAGCATCGATCTACGTAATTGGGATACAATGACATGTGTCAACCAAGTTAGCGACCCTGACCGCCCGTTCCCGTTAGTCGCTTCTTACGACAAACATGAGTTACTAAAGATCAATTCCAACCCGGAACTTCACGGGTCGTTACTGTAAAAGAGCGTGTATAGTCGCTTTGAGCTAACTGAACGTAACTGACAATAATGCATGCGAATGTACACAAAGCGATTGAGGGATAGTGTTATATTTTTTTCACGTACGTCAGCTTACTTCAGCAACATATGGGGCAAATACTCTCCCATTACGTACAGAATAAAGTTTATGTAAATTTTCAGTGAAGTTGGTTCTTATAATTATACAGACACAAAGTAGGGGAGGGGGACGTAATGGAGAGAGAAATGTTGATTATATGTGTCATTATAACATAATATATATGGCAACCTAAACTGAGTGATATAGAATAGTAGGTTCACTCAATTAAAGAGTCTGTGTGGGATGTTCTGGCTGTTTGTGTATATGTGAATGTGTGAGTGTGTAGGAGTGAGTGAGAATGGTTTTACGCCCTTTTTAGCAATATCACGGCGGGGACGCCAGAAACGAACTTCACACATTGTACCCATGTGGAGAATCGAAACGGGGTCTTACGACAGAATCAGACTTCATCACCTGGGTCACGATCCACAAAACGTTCGTAACTTTACGACCTGTCGTAACTCTATAGTTCATCATAGGCTTACGTTTCACAAAGCTATCGTAGCGCTACGACTGTCGTAAATCTATGTTACATTATGGGAGGTACAGTACAGTCGAAGCGCTACGATAGCTTTGTGAAACGGGGCTCGGGTTGATTTGGTTGACTTCGTGGATCATTGATCATAATACCAATCAATGGTCTGTGTGATCCACACCGGACTAATTGCAACTGGAATATACACCATCATATATACATTATTATATAACTATAACATATAGTAGTGTTGAACAAAAACTCAACATGTCATGTGAAGTGACAGTCTTCTGAAACCATACAGGTATTTCAATTAATACTTTTGGGTGTATTCGATTTGCTCTATTCTTTCCCTGGCATCAGATGATCGAAAAGAAATAACTTTATTTCCATGTTTATCACATGGGGTGGCCCTTAGTTTTTCGCTATGTCCCAATTCCCATACACCATGGTGAGGACATGGATACACATTTACATATAACGTGATATCTATTATCTATCCCAGTATATGGTCCAAGCATTTACCACGGTGATCATATCCCACGTGTTGCACATGTTTTGTTATTCCTCGTTATTCCCCGCTAACGTTCAGATCATACTGTTGAACACACTTTATGGATAACAACTTCATTTAGTTCGTGAGTGCAACGTTTCGATGCAGATTCTTGTACCATTGTTATTCAGGAATTCCATTACAGGTATCTGTATCGAAACGTCGCACTTACGAAATGAAAGAAGTTGTTATCCATAAAATTCGTTCAATATTGTACGTTCCAATTTCTAAAATGCCACTCAAAGAAGATTCATATCATATGTAATTACTTGAGAGCTCTTTGTGAGACTAGTATTGTGTCTTTACTCCATGATCACACCTGGTCAGCTGTTGTTGGACCACAGATTGGTAAACCTATTTTATCTACTTGTATCATCTGGAGGAACGTGGAGGACAATGTGTCTCTTCGTGATCAGTTACTATGACGTTGAAAATAGCATACTATTAGTCTTGCTACAAACTGTATAAAATATCATTACAATAATTCAATGTGGTAAAGGAACAGCTGTTCCAAAATGATACATCATTAAAAAAGTTGATGAAAGCAGACATCCTGGTATCACTGATAGTGATTGTAGAAAGCAAACTGGCCAGTGTGTGTGTGTGTGTGTGTGTGTGTGTGTGTGTGTGTGTGTGTGTGTGTTGTTTTTTAAAAGGGACCCATTCACTTACTCCAGGATTTAACGTTAACATTTCGCAAGAGAGCTACATTACCAGTTGAAGGTTTTGTCATTTAAAACACAGTTTACATGAA